CAGAGTATCAATATTCTTGCAGCGCCTTTGCAGTGCTGCAAGGAAGGCATTTGAGGGGGGGCAGGGAAACGTTACACTTCTTGTGCAACAACGGATTTAGGGTGGGGATGCTCGAAGTAAATAGTCCCTATATGAGCTATAGTCTTAAACTCCTTAAAGGGGGGTTATATAGGGATTATATAGGGAACTACTATAGGGGTTATTAAGGGGGATACTAGGAGTTTAGACAATGGCTCATATGTTAATTTCCTTTTTCCCTCCTCACAACCAGCAAGTAACTATTGGACGTCTGGAAAGGCCTCATGGGACCTGGCATCACCTTGATCTTCGGAGCATATACGCTGTGGGACGTGACTTGCATTGCAGAAGTATATCTGAGGTCAACCTTGGTCACCTAGTATGGGCCCCTGCCTGTTTCCTGGGTCCCAATTATGGGCCCTTAATTGGGCTTGTCGGTGCGTGTAGGGTACGTAGTACAAGCCTACACCTTGACTTAAGGGCTCATTTTAGGGGCCCATAGGTCAAACCTTATGTTCATTCAGCGTGTAACAGAGCGCCTCCAGGAAGCCCCCTATTTCGCCGTGTATCTTGAGGTTACCCTTGAACCCAAACCCTTGATGGTTTAGCGTTTAGGGCTTAGATCCTGAATCCCTAATCCCTTCAACCCAAACCCCAAGCCGTACACTAAATCCGAAACCCTAAGCCTGCTATTCTGCAGGAGAAAAGGTCCAATAAAAAAAAACCTGCCATGTTGGTCTGAACTTCAGGAGCTGAGAAAGCAGCGCATGTACCAGCACGCGCTGCCAGGCCGAGGAATTCTCTGTCTCCCGACAGATTTCCCAGGTATGGGGATTTGGGTTTAGGGAGTTTGACAGCAATCTCTTTCACATCCTCCTTTAGGTAGCCCAGTAGTACTCCTTAATCTCTTTATTTTGGGGTCTCCTCATTCAAACTGAACAGCAGGAGCAAGGGTACCCTTCTTGTTAAGGGGTTGCCGGGGACCCTAGATCCTAAACCGTAAATCCTAAACCCCTAGACCCCTAAGCCCGAAACCCCTAAACCCCTAAACCCCTAAACCCCTAAACAAACATAAACAACCTACAGTCCTTAAACGGGGATCCTAAAATGTCCATGCGTGCTCTGAGACCGAGAAGCCCCCACGTCAGGCCTGGACTCAAAGGGTTAGGGCTTAGGGCTTCAGGGTTAAGGGGCTAGGGTTTAGGGTTTATGGTTTAGGAGTAGGGTTGAGGGTTGGGGTTTAGGCTAAGGGGGTTAGGGGGTTTAGAGTTTAGGGTCGAGAACCCTGTTTCTACTCCATCTATCGGTAATTAGGCATTTTTTGTTTTAACAACCCCTCGGACGGCTTCAGGGTTTGGGGTTTAGGAGGTTAGGGGGTTTAGAGCTTAGGGTAGAGAACCCTTTTTCTAAGTAGTGCAGGTACATCCTCAGGTTGAGCCTGTAGTGTAAAACCCAAACCCGACCCGCTCTGCCGCTGCCTGGTGCTGGCTGGCCTGCGCCTCAGTGTGTGACTGCCTGAACTGGGCATCCTACACCATAGACTCATAGACCAAAATTCTGGACAACCCCGAAAAAAGCCTGATCCCTCAAAGCCTACGTCCTAAAACCTAAGGTCTTGCACCTGGCCCCCGTATAGCCCAAGCATAAGAAAACAATCTATGCACAGCTTCGTTACATGACCAGACTAGCGCGGGACAATTGTGCGTTTTCGCAAAGTCAGCCCTGACTGTAATCAAGGCTTGATTGCGGTTCCTTGCATTGACAGTGCGACGAGATGCGTGTCAGCTTGTCGTGTGCTTTCAGGCGCTGGAACACCTCCAGGAGCGCCGCATCGTGCACCGCTACCTGAAGCTGGAGAACGTGGCATTCTCGGTTTCGGCCATGCTTCGGCGGTTGACTGTTTCAATATTACAGATGTTTGCTAATGTGGTTCTGACAGCTTCAAGACTAGATCCCACCCTAGACAACCCCTGTAGCAACAACCACGAACGCCAGCAAGAAACGTTGAATTTAGTTAAAAAATAGAGAGCAGGTATGGGCAGAAGAACAACTTACAAACTTACAAAGTTCAAAAAAACCAAGCTAAAACGAAAATGGCTTAAGGCTCAGAGTTTGAGGTTTAGGTGCCCAAAGGCATATGGAGCGACGAGGTCTTCCTTTCCAGTATCGACATCCCTAGACGTCAGCCATAATAATACTCAACGTTAGTGACTAGCAATTAATGCCTATGGCTATTATGTCGTGGTGGCATGCACTTGTTTCTCTTCCTAGCAAAGGTCCTGGTCGACAACGCGGGCTCGGCCAAACTCTGCGACTTTGGCTTTGCCAAAGTCGTCCAAGGCAGCATTGGCTGAATGCATGTCCAGTTGGCTTGGTGCTACCACTGTTACCATGCCGTGTCCAAACATCATAGGATATGTTGGCACTGTTTGAGGCTCGAAAAATGTTTATGGGAGAAACACATGCTCATTGACTTAATGAATATCCGTATCTATATATACATAAACATATATATATATATATGTGGATACACACATACGTACATGCACGCACGCACGCACGCACGCACGCACGCATGCACGCACGCACGCACGCACGCACGTACGTACATACATACATACATACATACATATGTATATGTATATGTATTCGTAAATGTATATGTACATATACATACACATATACATATACATACATATATATATATACACATAGGCATATACATAGATGCAGGAATACAAGCAAACCCACATTCATACATACATGCATGCTTACATAAATACATACACAAATGCGGACAGACCCACGCTCACCCACCCAGCCGCCCACCCACCCGGTTAGAACTCAGCCCGAAGTTGAATCAAACATATTGCAGACCGGACGTTCTCCATCTGCGGCAGCCCGGAGTACATGGCTCCGGAAATGGTGGATCGGAGCCCAGCGCTGTTGCGCATTGTGTCCGGTAATGTGTTTAGATGTTGCGCTGTGCTGCTGTGGACTACTTGCTCGTGCACCTAGTTTAATAGGTGTCTTCCATTGCAGTGTTTGATCCGGGATTCACGCGGGCAGTGTTTGCTTGTTCGATATTCTTTCACGGCAGTGTTTGAGTGTGGTCAGCTTTAGTAGTTTGCGGTGTTGGGGTGAAAGAGGGCTTGTTTTTTTGTACGTGTTGGGTATTACAGATCCTTTATTTCACACCTGATAGGCCACGCAGGGCAGCACCTGCAAAACCACATCACGGCTTGTGGCACCAGTGTATAGGATGTGGGTTCTTTGCGATGATTGAATGCAGTCGGGATGTCATAGCCAGTCAGTCGCTGGTGTGTTGGGACTCTCTGAAGAATTGCGTCCGACAGATTCTTTTCGAAGGTGAAGTGGCCAGCCCAGAGGCCGAGCCGCATGCGCGCAACCACTTGATTGCACTCTCGGATTTCTACTTTCATTGAATCCGTTCTAACTTAAAGGATCCATGTGCTCTTCATGCGGGACGTTTGGTCTCATCCAGAAGCCAAGTTCAGTCAGTCTGCGGCGACGCAAGTTTGTTGGTCTCAGAGTCTCAGCCTTGATGTGTTAGACGGCTGTCAGCCAGCAAGTGTATTGACTAGTCACACAGAAAACATGACACACCGTCAAGTTAGCAATTCGTGTGGGGTCCATGCTATGCTATTGAGCAAGCGGAGCCCTGAAAAGGTTTCAACTGTGGAAGACCATATGGTGCATCTTTTATGTCGTAGCCATAAGCTGGACCTCTGCCCCGAACGCTTTCTGTTCTGAAGACTTCTGCCCAGGCCGACTACTGGTCTTTGGAAGCCTGAGTCCCAGCTGTCGATTTCGTACAGTGCAGAGCAGGACTTTGCAATGCTGCGTGCCCGTTTTTCTCGTGGTGTTGCACATTGCTGCTCAGGGAATGTACGCCGTCCCACCCGGACTGTGCTTGCGTCTGCTAGAACAAGAGCGATAAACAGGGTTCTCTACCCTAGACTCTAAACCCCCTAACCCCCTTAGCCTAAACCCCAAACCCCAAACCCTAAAGCCTAAACCCTAAACCCCAAACCCCCTAACCCCCTAAACCCCAAACCCTAAAGCTGTGTGAGGGGCTGTTAAAGCAAAAAATGCCTAAGTACTGATCGATGGACTAGAAGCAGGGTTCTCTACCCTAAACTCTAAACCCCCTAGCCCCCGTAGCTTAAACCCCAAACCCTAAAGCCTAAACCCTAACCCCCTAACCCCCTAAACCCCAAACCCTAAAGCCTTGCAAAAGGGTTGTTCGAGCAAAAAATGCCTAATTACTGATAGATGGACTAGAAACAGGGTTCTCTACCCTAAACTCTAAACCCCTAACCCCCTTAGCCTAAACCCTAAACCC